TTTTGTTTTGGTTTATTGCATAAAAATATGTTGGTTGTTGCACTGCTGCCTCCTGCCTCCCGCCTGCTTGATTTGGTTCCACCGGCCCTCGAGGCTAGCACATTTTAGATTCTAGTGTTACGCTAATGCTAGTATTCTGCTGTATTCGTATCCCTTCCACACTTACATATTTACTTATGTGTTTGTGTATCTATGTATGTCTCTCAGATTTGATTTGATTTGATTTGGGTTTGTGGCTGCCTTCAAATTAAATCCAGTTCTGCTTGGTTTGTATCTAGATTATTGTGTAATTAAACATACGAAAACACATTCAGAATTCGGATAATTAGTATTCATTTGCCATTTGCCTCGAAGGGATCTGTTTGCACATGCAACACATATATGTATGTATGTATGTATGTATGCACTCGTATATACTATATGTATATATATATATATCTATTTGGTTTACTTGTTTTGTATCTTAGATAATACTTTTATTTGATTGATTTCGGTTCTGCCTGGTTGCAAGTTGATCTCATTTCATTTAGTTTCAATTTATGCTATGTGCCCGCCCCGAAAGCGACTCATCCTTCGCGCTGCGTGTGACAAAATTTTGCTAACTGCTCCTGCATTTCCTTCAGCATTTCAATAATTACACTTCGAATTGACTAATTTGTAATTGTAGTTTATGGCTAATAGCTACAATCATTTCAGTGTGTGTGTGGAATCCATTGCTTGGAGCTCAAACCAAACGAACACATAGGCGCTGCAGAATCAAATTAACGTGACCAATACGCGACTCAAGTGAGCTCTGAGCTTGGTATGATCGGAACAGAACCTGAGATGGGGAATTGCAATCATCTGACCAAGTGCTGCTATAGTTCTTAATATTGTTCTTCTTTCTTGATGTCTTTTGTGGGGTGACTACAATTTTTCTGGGGCCCAGGTCCCGCTGGACTGGCTTCTGGGTTTCATGTGGGTCTTCACGTGTTTATAAATACTTTGTATATGTATGTGTGTATATATATATATATAGACGTATATAAATGTCTTAGCACATTTCGTAGATACACAACATAAATACATACATTTACAGCATTTATTCATATATATGTATATATATATATCTATATATATTTGTTTGTATTTGTATATTATTTAGTTCGTCGTCATCGTCCGCCTGTTGGATCATCTCTCGCGTTCCACAGCTACTCGTAATTCCTATTTAGTTTCCAACTCTTCTCTAGTTCTTCTATGTGCCAACTACCCATTTTTTTTAACTCTTTACTGATATGTAGCGCAAACATTAACAAACAAACCGATAATATTTTTTTTTTGTTTTGGTTTCTTTTTTTTGTTTTTCTTAACTATAAACTTTTGCTCTTATAAATGTTCTTCACTTCTTTTTTCTTCTTCTCCATTTCCTTATAGCCAAATTTAGGTTTTCACCGAAACAGTTTTGGTTTCTCTTTGAATTATTTTTTTTTTTTTTCTTTGTGTGTTTGTTTTATTTTATTTATTTTTTTTTTTGTTTGGTCAACAATATTATGAAATTTTTCTTTCCCGCTTTTGATACATAACAAAAAATTTCTAGAAAATGAAATGACAACAGAAAAATGCATTTCTCTTCGTTCCTCTATCGCTCCGATACCAGTCCATACCAGTCCAATCCCACCCCGCTTTAAAATCACATCTACATCTAAGTCGTTTGCCGTCCTGGTTAAACATGCAATGCTTCTCGTAGTTTCTCTAATTTCTAGTGCTAAAAACATTTAAATATACAGTACAACTGCCCCTAGTGTCTACAGTTACATGGTGTGTGTCTCCGTGGGTCTTCGTGGGTCTCCATCTCCGTCTACTCCCTCCGATCCGCGGCTAAAACTCTGCGACCATGGCTAATCATAATGAGTGAGCATCCATCTACCATCTAGCTAACACAAAAATATATCCATACTAGGCTATGTGTGTGTGTTTGTGGTTTTCGATTATCAATAGACATACATATATCGTACTCGTGCTCGGGCCACACCCAAGTAACTAAATGCTCTTTCTATTCCTTTCTATTCAGCCTCTTTTGCTGCCAAAAATTTCACTAAAAAATGCCCTAACAGCCACAATTTGGGATTTGGGGCGTGTCAAATGCAAATTGTGCCCGACCTCTGTCCATGGAAAATATTTGAAGCTTTATATCCGTTGCATACGAAGCCCATCATACACTCACGTATGGATGTATGTATGTATGTATGTAAGTGTATCCGTGTATACTATTTCTATTACTTGTGATTTTTATTTGTTGTTGTCATCATTTTAATTGGTTTTCATTTTGAACATCTATATGTGATTTATCATCCAACACATGCAACACAATATGCAATAAATATAATTTACCATATGCCCATAGTTTTTCTTCTCTGTATGTAAATACCGTGTACAAGTATTCCTATTCGTCTGAGTGGGAAGTGGGAAGTGTGAGTGTGAGTGTGGAGTGGGTGTGGGTTGTTGGTTTTTCTGGGTGTGAGTATGAGTGAGGGTTCTCTATCAATACCGTTTTGTATAGTATGTTATATAAGCATGTTTGTTTAATGCATATGCTGTATACTCTATATATCAACCATCTCTATATCTATTTATAGTATATGCTACACTTTTAGTTGTTCGTTTTTTGTATGGCTATTTTATGTTTCACATTCATGTACTGCCATTTACCCAGTTTGTGTACCATATCTGTAGGCTTCCTTGAAAGGGAAGGAATGCCCCTGTCTTGTACGAGTATCCTTCTAGGTTAGCTGTCTCTCATGTTCTTCTGGATAAATTTTCGTGTGTGTTGTATTCATAAGTTGATTAATGCTTGCTTAGGTATCGGTATCAGTATCATCGGTATCGTGTTCTTGTCTGTGAGGGACTTCTTCCTCCCTTCTTCTTCTAGATAATTAGATTATTTATGTTTCATTTCTGTGACTGAGCTGTTCCTGTTTCTGCTTCTGCTTCTGTTTCTGCTGCTGCTGCTGCTCCTGCTGCTGCATTCGCACTGAAGTGTTTTTGTTGGCTTATATGATTATGTGATAATATCTATTTTATTACGGCTATGCTCGATTAGCTAATATCAATTAATATCATTCGATGGCATACTTTGATTGTTTTCAATATATTTTACTTGTGTATGGGGGAGTTCTTCTCTCTCTATATTACTATTCATATATCTGTAGCTATATGCATATTTTGTTTAGTTATCGGTTCGGTTTGGTATTGGTATTGGTTTGGGTTTCGTTTTCGTTTCGTTTTCGTTTTGGCCTAAACAACAGAGAACTAACACAACATATTTGCAGCTAGCCATTCCTCTTCTGGCAACTGAAATAAAACCATACACATGAACAAGATATAAATTGGCAATTAGAGTGTGTACGGGTTTGAAATGTTTTTTGGGTGAGGTTGAAACATTTTTGTGGCTGCTTGTGTGGGGCGGCTGCTTTTTTACATACAAATCTCTCATGAAGCTTGTTGAACAAAAAATAGGCAAACTTAAATCATAATCAAATTAAATTCAAATTTCAAACAAATTAAACGCTTAGCTGCAGTAGCTGCTGAAGCCTTATGGGGGGAACAAAAAGAGTGATACAGATAGAGAGAGAGAGAGAGAGATATCGATTAGGGGGGACAGGGCCAGTGGTACAAGTTTGTGTCTATTACTGTCCTCGCTTGGGTGGTGGTGGCGCTGCTGTGCCTTCTCCTCTCTAATGCCTTCATATTTCATAGTTAGTCAGATACTTTCAACTGCGAGTGCTTGTGTGCTTGCGTTTCTTTTGTGTCTGTGTGCGTGTGTAGACCTTTTAGGAACCTGTCTTTCAATTGCTGATCAATCACAAATCAAAGTGCGATAGTTCTATAGGAAAATGGTAGCCAGACATGACAAGGATTGGCCAATTCATTGCAGATTGGCACACTAGTACGAGTACTTATATTGGCAGTTGTCTCTAAGCGTGTGTGTGTGTAGGCTGCTGCAGTGCTGCGCTTAGTAAAATATTCACCTCATCTATCATAGTTATAGGCACTAGTGCTATGTTTGTGTGTGAGTTGTGTGTGTGTGACCCTCTGCGAGTGCCTGAGTGCTGGCATAGTGTGAGCTTGTGTGCTGCTGCTAAGCTAAAACCAAAACTGGGTTCAAAGGAAGGCAATAGTACACAATTGTGTGGGATTTTCCTTGGTGTTGAAGGGGCTATAAGAAATTAAGGTGAGATGAAGGGCTGGCTGGCTGGCTAGATTTTTGTTTGCCCACTCACACGCACACACACACACGCAAATAAATATTTACATGTGTGTGTGTGTGTGTGTGCGCCTAATTAATTTTAACGCATTTTTAATTATGTTTATTTTAATTTAATTTCGCTCTGCCCTGCCTGAATTGTATGCGTATATGTATATTTGTTAGAGTGTACGCCAGACGCATTGATGTATGTATGTGCGGGTGTGTGTGTGTGTGTGATTTATTCACACTCTCTCAATTTATGCCTTCCTTCACCCGAACTGTAGAGTCGTCCCCCTCCATTTTATTTACGAGTATGTACGCCATTTTTGCATGTAATTCTTGCCATCCTCCCTCAATTAATTATTGTTATTTTTTATACGCGGCATGCTCCAACACATTTACATAAAGCATTAAATTATGTTTGCATAATGTCAGTGGGTGTATGTATCTGTGTGTGTATTTTGTGTGTATGTTTTGAGTGGAAGCAACTAGGGTTAAAAATATTTTCGATTTTCTTTGCTTTTTGCATATACATAATAATTGTTTGCCTTGGCGTCCGTTTTACAAATATTTTTGTTATGCTCTATTTTTGATATATATGTATGTATATTTATAGGTATATAATTATTATGTGTATATGTTTGTATGTGTGTGTGTCATGTATATGTGTGTTGCATTTAGCTTTAGCATAGATTTTTCTGGGGGGAGGGGTGCAGCTCACTAAACTCGCCAAAACTTTTAGTTGCCATCAATGGGGTTTTTTGCAATTTTTGGATTTTGCGCTTCGCATTTTATTTACAGCTCAGTTTGGTTTTGTTTCTGTTTCAGAATAGCAGCTGTACTTGGAAATTTTGTTATGGTTTTTTTTTTTGGCTTTTTTCTCTGGCTTATTCGTGTTTTGTTTTTGCGCTTACTGTGCCTGCAAGAGTAAAGGATAAACCTTAAAAAATAATATGGGTGTTAGTCAAAATTGGAAAAAAGTAGTAGTCGGAAAAAAATTAATTTTAATGCAGAAAAAAACGGTATATGCAGGAATTTGATTTTACAAACAAACAGTACGTTATTTGATATGCAATAATAAATTGTATGCCCACTGTTTGCTGTCCAGCGAGAGAGAGAGAAAGATAACGCTTTTGAATTATGCTAGAGCTCGGGATTAGCAAATAAATTCACAAACAGACTGAAAAATGTGTGTTACGTATACGTATCTAGCAGTACCGAGCATTTTAAGGATTAAACGAGTACGTATGCATATGGAAACCGAAAACAGATCCATATGCGATTCATGCGCTTTTGCCCCACAACGAAAAAGTAACACAATATGGACAAATAGAACTCTGAATAATATTAGTTTACTACATGTATGTTTTTTCATGTATTAAATACAAACGAATGCCCAATAACTGGAATATATATTTGAAGCCTAACTTTTTGGGAAATATTCCTTACAATATTAATGTTAACGGTATTCCAAACACATTCACTGATTCCATGGCATGCATATACAACAGTTTCAATATATGTTTGTGTGTGTGTGTGTGTGTGTGTGCATTCGATAACCAAATGCAAAATAATAATAGAAGCTGAAATACCTAAATAATTGGAATATTTTTATTGCAAACCAAAAATATGTTCACAACTCCCAAACGTAACTGAAGAACTAATAAATAATTGAAGTAATCAAATCCAAACAAAAAAAAATAGCACAAAAGAGTCAAAAATGCATTCAAAACTTTCAACAAACGTACGAGAAATGTACCAGAAATGTACGAAAAATGTTTCAATGTACTCGGGCAGCATAGTCGTTCATGTACGAGTGTGCGAGTGTATGAGTGTATGAGTATCTGAATGTATTTGCTGGTACTAGTGTTGGCTGGTACATACCTGTGGGCTCACTTGGAACTGCTGTATCGGGTAAGCGACCACGCCGGCTGCCTGCGGTATGGCAGTCCCGGCCACGCCCGTTGCCATTTGCTGTGCAGGAGAGATCTGGGCCTGGGTGACGCCTTGCCATGTGGCCGGTATCTGCACTCCCATACTGCAACGAAAAAAACAGAAGGGGCAGGAAGTCCCCGAAACACATAAGCCGAGAGTAGAGTTTGGTGGGAACGGTACGGGACGGGAAAGCACATTTACTGATCTGCCTGTACAGAAATGGTCCCTGAAGCGTGGTGTGCGCCACAATTATCACAGCCAGACGACAGATGACAAGGAATGGAAACGAGAGCATGGAAAACAAATTTACGCGACTGCGATGCAAATAGCACGTTATGTTGACAGCCCGACACACGGAAATGCAGTTCATACGGCCGCAGACCGACGCGACGGTGCTACGGTGCAAATGAAAAAGTTTCGCAATTAGCAAATGAATTCAGTCATCCGTCATGCTGTCTGTCGTTCCCCTTGTCGCTCCCGTTGTCGTTGTCGCACTTGCAGTCGATCCCCCGTGGCGGTTCAATTATTTCACAAAGAACAAACCAATGTGGGTGGGATTGGCATGCTCTGCATATCATTCGCGGTATTATGGACATATTCGGGACACAGAGACACAGGCAAATCAGCTAATAAAATTATTGAGCCCGGATCCAATGACAATAGCCTATTGAGAGTCCTTACCCCATATATCCCTGCTGATAGCCGCCGTACTGGCCAAAGTGGTAGCCCTGGATGCCCTGCAGGAATTGGTTCTGCACGGCAGCGGCACTGGCCGCCGCCGGGGTCACAGCTGTGGCCGGGGCCGAGGAGGCCTGGTATGTGGGTGTGGGCGAGTACCAGCAGCCGGTGGCCGCCAGCTGCTGCCCATATGCGGCGGCTGCAGTTGCCCCCAACCCATAGGGGAACCCGGCGGCGGCAGCGGCGGCGCTATTGAGTGCCTGTGTGGCGATGGTCTGGGCATTGTTCGGATCGCCGCTCTCCTTGCCCCACGAGCACTTACGGGCTGGGCATTAAGTTCTGTGTTGTGTACCCCGACGATGGCATGGGTGGCGGCCTCCTTGGTGGAGAAGCTGCAAAGACCAAAAAATATTCCAAAATAAGTAAGTGAAAGGTGAGAAATGAAAGCCGATTGCTATGCTGCATTGCTGTACTTACCGCACAAAGGCATAGCCCTTGTCCTTGAAGACTCGAATCTCTTGTATCGCTCCATAGGGCGCGAATGTCTTCTGGAGCACCTCCTCGCTGAGGGCGGTGAGGGCGCTGTTTACGCCGCCAACATAAACGGTGCAATTGGAGGGACTGCTCTGATTGTAGACCTCATCGAAGGTCAACGGCTTGATGTTCTCTGCGGACAAAAAAAGAGACGAAAATGTGTGAGACCAAGTGTTACCCTGTGATGGATCTGGTTTTAATGTGTCCATCTCAAAAAGAAATTTATGGCCAGAACTTTTTTGTGACTGTACACCGTACACCGTACACCATGGAGTGGTGCGTTTTTTGTTCACCAACTGCATGATTAATATGCAAATTAATTAACGGATTTACCCGCATTGGCAATGGCAACGGCAACGGCAACGAGAGCTACATATATGTACATGAGTGTGCCTCGGTCTGTGTAACGTTTTGGTAATTAAAATAACCGCATGCACTTAGTCAATATGCTCGAGTGTGAGTATCTGTGTATGTGTGTGTGTGTGTGCTGGTTCCTCTGAGAGTATCTGTGTATCAGGCAGGGGGTGGCGGCGACACGGCACCATTTACCTCTCTGCCATTGTTGTTGCATATTTAAAATTGTTGCGGTTGTTATTGCATTTTTTATTATACGTATTTTGCGGATATATGTATACATATATTTCGTATGCCGTTTTATTGTCGGTGTACTGTGCCGTGCACTGTAGCTGTAGCTGTACCGTGTGCAGTGCCGTGCACTTTTTGCACTCACTGTACGAGACCCTGATTGCCGTTGATGTTGCTGCTGTTCGGATTGGATTGTTCGGTTGGTTCGCCCCTGTCGCCCACCTTTTGCTACAAGTATTTGGTATGTATGCACGTATTTGTATGCAAAAGTTACACTAATTACTTCCTTTGAGGTTAAAACTAAATTTGCACTTTTAAAAATAATGTCAGCTTTGCGTGTTTATGTCTTTGTTTAGCTCTGAAACATTTCTGCGGCCATTGTGAGCGGCTGACTCGTTCACCTCCAACGTACAGCTGAGCACGATTCCATTGTTGTATACCTAATGACTGAGATTGTGCTGGATCGATTATGTAACCGTGTGAAAGGAAGTGCCAGGCTGTATGTATACATCCGTACTTAAGAGATTCGTATAATAGATCGATGTGGAAATGGAGCAGACTTGGAACTGGCGCTGAAAATTAAATACAATGGCTGCCTTTACCCTTCAGGGATTTCATTAGATCAATGTGGAAATTGAATGTGCAGCGAACGCTTTAAATTAATTTCAAGACGTTGTTCAGCTGCCCCCATTGGCGTATCACTACCCCCTGAGAGCTGATTCAACATGGCCTCTCAATGGCACAACAACTTGAAGAGCCTCCTTCCACTTATCCTGCTCTACCTCATACGCTGAGAAAGCCCATCAAAATGCCATTGCAGAGCTGCCTGCCTGACTGCCTGGTGGTCGGGATTTGTGTGTTGTTGTGTTGGGCTGTGCAGCGAACATGCCAAACAAAACACAAAAATATGGCTCAATGACATGCAACAGGATTGCTATAGACCGCTTCTGCATACACAAACACACACAAACGCACTGGGTACATAACCAGAAGCAGGCTTCATGGCGAGGGTGCACCGAAAAACTAACAAGCTCGCAAATACTTTTGAAAGCTTTCGCCACAAATGTATGCGCTTTGGCCACGCACACACACACACACACTCATGGAAACACCACACTCTCTCCCACTTATACACTTTGCCACACGCAAACGGCATTGCATAGTTTTGAGCGCCATGTTTCACTAATTTGCACTTTGCTTTGTGTTTGTGTTGCCCTCGCTTCATTTTGAATACCCTTTCTGAAGGTGTAACTGGTTTTCCGTGATGCTCAGCATGACCAGATTAAAGAACCTGATATATATTTATTGATTTGAAGCAATAGTAGAATCGATTCTGTAATTTTCGTCCTGTCCTTGTCCCATATATGGAGCTGTGGTAAGGCTAAGGGGTAAGAGTAACTTTATTATCGGCTAAACTTGTTTCTATATTTTTTATTCTGTAATTTCTTTTTTACGCTTTTGAATACGTGTAATTAAATTTTGAAACTGCAGTCAGCAAGCAGCCCCCCCCCCCCACCATCCCCTCCACCCACCACCCATATTCTTGTACGTGCTCAGCCTTGAGGCGGAGTGTGTGCTTGTTGGTGGACAGTCAGTCCTTAGCCCAGAGACCCTATACCGAACCCCATCCCCCCCGCACCCTGTCAGGTAAAGACCAGCTCGCTTCGTTTCATTTCATGTCCGCCGCAAATTAAAACACTCGGCCCCCCATTTAAGTGCGGGAGCGTGGCCATAATTATCGCATATTTTTGTCTACGACAAACTACAGCGAGTGCATTCCACTCCATTCTCGCTCGTTTCGGTTTCTGGTTCTGTTTCTGCTTCTGGCCTGGCCTGGCCTGGCGCATGGCCTGGACTGACAGAGGCGAACCCACAAATAATTACAGTCCGGCAGCCAGGAGCCATTACATTGCCAAATACCTGTACGGTACGGCCAGCTGTTTTGAGTGCTTCGCTCCCATTTTCCTAACGATTTGAAATTTTAATGAGCAATTATAGGCATGTAAAACTAAATCATGAAATAATCACCAAATCATTAACATAAATAATTCACATTTTTACACAGAGTCGCAACAACAGCAACAACAACGCCTCGGGGCAGGCTGGCTGGCTGGGTACTTGAGGAAATTCAAAAGTAATTAATATGCAAGGAATGTTCGTTCGTTCAGTCGGAGGTCTGGGAGGGCGTATCGCATGGGCGTGGCTATGTGCTAATTCTGACGCGTGTTGGCAACCAACAAAAAATAATTTTAGTCCTAAATCATACTGTCTTTATTGTTTTGTAGGAAAGGAACAGAAGTATATGGAGTCAGGGATATTTAGATCTAAATTAAAACATAAACAAGACTTGATCTTCAGTATAAATTTAAATCAAAACAAAATGGGCAAATCAAAGCTAAAAACCTTCAAGGTTTCATCAAATTCAATGTTATTATTAAATCTTTTTCAGTTCTTCTACGTTCCAGCTATTTTTCTCCGTTGCTCATGCCTCTTTCTCTAGGATTTTACTACGTATAGCCGCAGCCCCCACCAGCCCAGAATGCATTCAGGCATTTAAACTTTTACTTAATTGTGCTCAACTCTGCATAAAATTTTGATTTATTGCATCGGCTGGTGACTGCCAGGTAACGAGGCCACATAACTTCAGTCTCGCTCAACCCAAAAAAAAATTCAACCAAGTTGCTGCCACCCACACACCCACACCCACACCCACCATGCCACCAGCACACACTTCCACCGGCTCCTACGGGGAGGGAAGGGGAGCTTTCTGCAGTCAAAAGTCAAATAGTTTTGCCAAAGAAATTTGTCATACAACATTGCCGTCTTTGTTCGCCGTTGTCGTCGGCATATTGTTTCTGGTTAATTAAGTTATTACCATAATGAGCTTGTTGGTATTTTTAGCCCTTATTTATGGGCATGCATTGGAGTGGAGAGATGGCGGCGAGAATCTCAGGTAATCTTTTAACAAAAGTAAAACTTTGTAAAAACTTTTGCCACGAGCTCTCGGCCTTTGAACAATAAAAAAAGGGGACCGCGGCAAATGCGTTCGTTATAAAACCCGAAAATACAAAAAAAGAAGGGAAAAACTTTTAGCGGGGCACGAAATTGCAAAGCGACGCCAAAATTGTCAAAACTGTAAAATGCGCAATTGCGTCGGATCGTAAATCTCTTTCAACAATGGGGCACACATATACAAACACACATACAGAGAGGGTTGTGGCATACACAGCCACATGAGTGGCTCACTAAACGCGGATGGAGGACGAAGAGCGAAGGACGGCGGACTGATTGCCGGGAGCATAAAATGTGCAGCCTGCTTAAAACATAAAAATGCCAGGCCAACCCGTACTCGGGCGCTGAATTGCCAAAGAATCGAGCAAAGTGGCTGCGTAAAACATGAAGTAATGCGAATGCCGAATGCCAAATGCGAAATGAGTTGAGTGCTACAAATCGTAAAGTTCGCCAGCAGCCACCATTCCACGTCACAGCAGCAACAACTAGGCAGGCCATAAAACCAATCCCTAGCCCCGATCCCAGTCCCTGTCCCCTGCCCATATACGGATACATACATATGTACCGTACATATGCAAGCGGGCACATACGCGTATAAAACCCTTCACCGAATGGGACACGGCCACATCTTCGATTCTTCGATTTTGGCTGCTGACTCGGCAGCACTTGAGGCGATCAAAAAATCAAAATTATAACGCTGTCAAATTGCTAATAATAACTTGTATTACAGGATCCAAAACTACCGCCCACCAAAGCCCCGATCCAGCCATTGCTCTGCTCCACTCCACTCCACTCTCGAGCCAATCGTAGACGAAGACTGGAATGGCATCGAGCAGACAAAACCGTGACACAGTCCAATAAACAATGAGACCAATAAAAATACGCTTAAGCTTTCATAGGCGTTTTTTATGACAACAATATAAATGCAAAAGGGAAAATATTATGCGAGTACACTACTACGCTTCTGTGCTGTCCTGTCCTGGCCTGTCCTCTTCCCTCTAGCAAGGGTTCGTTTGAGCCCCGAAATGCGAACCCTTCAACAATTTCAGGCCTTTGCACGATAAATTCCACCTTGGCTCCAACTATAGTTTCTTTCTGTGTGTGTTTGTGGGGGGTGTATCCTTGTATCTTTGTGTGAATATCTGTGTGTGTGTGAAGCTTAAAGAATGCCGAATGTTTGTTGTATAACCATGAAATTTTACCCTCTGTGTGTGTGTGTGAGCCTTTTATGATAATAGTTTCGTGTTGGCAAAATTTATTTATCTGATTTACCCTCTCTCCCAAAAGCCACCTCCTTCCAACACACTTGGGGTGTGTCTCTGTGTCTGTATGTTTCTAACAAATAAAAATTATGTTAAAACATGCAAATACGCGTTAAGTTTTGATTTATGAAAGACTAACGACAGAACAGACGAACGGTGGCGGCTCCCGTTTCCGCATTCACGGGCATGTACTTCGAGCATGTTTGTCCGCTGTTAATAATGATTATGCCGGCAGCGATATAGTTACGTTTACAGTTGGATATACATATATATATATATATGCGGTTGACAACGAGCCACCGTCATAAAATTTCTGGGGGTAGGGCGTGTGCGCTGGGACGTGGCTAAATGAAAATTGATTCGCTGGGATCCCTAATTGAATGCCTCTAGTCGCTTTTTATATGTATTTTTGGGTCCCATCTCCGACACGACTAATTGAAAAAGTTTAAACCAAATTGGGTACAGCCCATCACGGAAATTAAGCGCGTGCCGTTTTTCATTTTTACAACAAGAGAAAGGACAAATATTAAGAAAACATAATCTGGCGGAAAATTTGTGTGGCGTTTATAAATAGCAAGCGGTTGTTGGTTGTTGGCTGCCGGTCCATGGTCCTTCAATGCCTGGAATCCTCCCCAAAATTCGACCGAATTCTGTCTGCTGTCGGGCTGGCTACCTTTGGCATTCATTGCCATAATTTCCTGTAATAAGAACGACGCGTCGACTCCAAGCAACAGCCACAACAACAATGCTGCTTGATACGAGTATGTCTGGCCCTGAGTCCCCGGGTTGTACGCACACCGGAAACTTCTCTGGCCTGAACGGAGGGAGGGTCGGTGAGGCAGACACAGAAAACAGGGTGGGGGGTGCAGGGGCCAGGTGACACTCATGATTTCCTTACCTTTACTCGCCGGCGGTTTCCGTGTGGCCCAATTCGTGCGAATTGAACGGGAGCCAAGCCACTGGCCATTCATGGCCGTAATGGCGCTCTCGGCTTCCTGCGGGGCGATAATGAAGACAGAGACACAGTCAGAATCAGAGTACGAGCAAGATTTTGGGTGCAGAGGGCACACAAAAGGAATGAGCAAAGTTACTGCATAAATATGCACTTAAATATGCTAATGCATCCGATAATGCTTACCGATTTCTTGATGAAGGACACAAACCCATAGCCCTTCGACTTCAAGGTTTGTGGATCGCGCACCACGCGACAGTCGCTAAAAAGAGAGAAAAGAAAGCAAAGAATACATTAAAGACATTTCAGCTTAAAAATTTTGTTAAATATTTTTCCACCCTCTACGGAAACAAAGAAAAAAACTTGACAAACTTTAAAATTTATGCAAATTTCGAATAAAGACAACTCCCCAGGCTCTGCGAGGGACTGGCCGACGTGTTCAAATATTTCCGTTCGAGTACAAAATACAAATATATTTTGTGTGCACTCTGGTCTGGTGTGGTCTGGTCGGATCTCTCTGCTCGTTTCTGGTTTCTCTGCTCTCTATCCCCCAATTGTGTTTGTGTTTGCGGAGTGGGCGTGGCCGTGGTCTCTTGTAATTCGGAAATTAGAAATCTGACCTCATGCTGAAAACTTTTTATTATTTATCTTACAGTTTGCTTGGCCGCCCAACATGGGGAACGACAACGACGACGACGACAACGAGGTTGATGAAGATTTGAGATGCCAAGAAGGCACGCGGATTGCACAAGTCATCGGAGCTTTAAAGGGATAGGCCCTGATAAAGAGTGGACAATATTTGGGCTGCCAGTAGATGATTTATGACATTGTAATTTTTTTCATTTGAATAATTTCGGTCGTAAGCTTTTTCGTTCCACTCCGCAAATCGAACTACAATCATAACCATAAACGAGAAGGAATGTGTGAGTCGCTTCTGTGGACGCGACTCTACTTTAATACCCGTACTCAACCAGTATATAAAATTGAGAGCTTCTGATATATGTAGAATTTTAAAATATTTTACACTTCACTACACTACATCAATATCTACGTTATCTAGCTTCTACATACTGTAGATGTAGATTCATTCTCTGCGTTTCACACACCCGCTATTGCCACAAATCTAATACATATACCCCTTAACTCTTCGAGTACGGGTATAAAAAATATCCGCTCATTTTGGTCACTTATATTAAAAGCGACCGGCCAACCGGCCACTCCGCTCAATTGCTGGACTTCCGACTCTCAAATTGATTTCCCCACAGCAATTCTACGACATCTAATTTCGGCAATTGGTGCCTCGACACTAGGGTCGCGGCCCAAAACTAAGCCGAGCTGCCAGGAAACTTTGGCAATTACCCCCAGCTCTGCAGTTTACTTTTCATTTATGAAACATAAACCACAGTGGCGGCAACGGCAGCGGCAACGGCGATGGCAAAGAAGTTGACGACGACGCTGGACGACGGCAACTTTTTTTTTATGATTATTATAAGTAAAATGCCGAGGGACCCCTGGCTCCTGGGTTGGTAGTATGTGGGTGTGGATTTTGTTGGTGCTTGGAGGGGCCGGGCCAAAAGCCAGGCGACTTATTAAATATTCACACGCGCCGCGCATTTAACAAAACGAAACAAAAATGCGCCCAGCCCTGGCCCCCAAAACATAATGCCAAAACCAGGCAACAACAAGGCTCAATGGCGGAAAAAGGGCAAACAACGCAGCGCACGCATAAAAGTTTTTGACAAGAAAGTCGGACGACGGGTCCTGATCCCTGGGAGCCGCACGACCGAATCCGGGGCCACCCCATCCCGACTTTGTGCGTTAAGCGTTTTGACATGTCGGCAACCAGATCGACTCACGCAAAAGAAAAACCAAAGAAATAAAGTTCTTTAAGCCAGCAACAACTGGCGGAGTCTCTTTGTCTCCTGCTCTGCCTATGTGCCTGTCCCCCCTGTCTCTCTCTGTCTCTGAGATAATCAGGACGCAACGCGGTTGGGTAGTCGTTTTCTCATGCCTGTTTCGATGTGGGACATGTACGAGTATCGGTGATAATGATGTCAGCGATATGTATCAGAAAGGTGCCAATCGATTGCTCAATAAGGCTGAAATGCGTAGCCATCGATACGGCTGTCAATTGGGAATGGAATGCCTTCATATTGGCGGAGAATAAGGATGGGACAGGGACAGGGCCCTGCTCATTAGTAGATCTGAGTGAGCACAAGACCAAAAATCCTTTAACCGAATCAGGGTCATAATCATTAGCATGATTTTCAAATTATTAAAATTTAAATTCAGCCACCCCTTTAGTGGTGTGGGAAGGGGGAGAGCAGTTTGGATGAGCAGATTGCCTGATTGACTGGCTGACTGAATCCTGAAGCGAATCCAAACAAGCGAGAAATCCAAAAATCAAATACTTTAGCGTAATTTTTGATAAGCTGCCTCCGGGCTGTGTGGGCTACAGCACTCCCAAGAGGGCAGACTAACATTTTGACTCGAAACTTTGCGATTAAACAGAAGTTAATTAAGCCAAGTTTTTGATGCTGCCATTGCCACTGTTGCTACGGGTGGCTATGGTGGTTCTTCTGCTGCTGCTGATGGTGGACCCAGCCTTTTCAAGCCGAAAATAGCAACTTAAATATTTGAATGAGCGGCCAGGGGCCTGGGCCCGGATGGTCTATATTTTTGTGGTGGCAACACACAAAACCGAAGCGAGGCGAGGCCAAGAGCAGCGACACTTTCTGTGTACTTTCCAGCGCAGAGGCAGCATCGTGCACAGTGGCAGCGAAAAGAGTTCGGCAAAAGTGAAATTTGCATAAATTCATTTTTCCCTCCCGCTCGGTTATGAATTTTTTATGGTCTCCGGCAAGCGGCTTACGGAACAAAACGAACCATACGAAAAGCCTCCTCACGCGCCTGCCAATAATCAGGGAATGTGTGACAGAAAAATTGTCAGAAAAAAAATAAGGAAAGAAAGAAAAATGAAATGGAAAAGGAAACGGGGAGTTGGAAGACTGGAAGACTGTATAAAGGCAATTCCAAGTTAACTGGCAAATGGAAAATTTGCATTTTAATACTTACGAGATTTCGCCGAATGGTGTGAATGCTTCGCGCAATTGCTGAGTTTCAATTTCTGAGCTCAAGTCACCGACAAAGATGTGGAATTGTTCTGCAAAATAAGAGAGAGAGGAGAGAGAGAGTGTGAGATATCAGTGTGAGCCTTGGTTACGGTTACGAGGAAGTAGTATCAATGTGCTGTGCTATGCCCCGGAAAGGGTTGCCTTTGCCGTTGCCGTTGCCCCTGGCGGCACATCGTGAGTCTCACAAAATATGCGCCAGATAAAAACTCAAATCAAAAAAGGAATCTCAAGTCATGCGCTTTTATATCGCATTTTATTACCCCGCTCTTATGCTTCTTCTGCTTTAATGCATATTTTCACACAAAAAAAAAAGAAAAAAAAAAGATAAAAAGAAAAGAAAAAATCACAGGAGGAGCAATGAAAAGTTTCTCATATATAATTTTATGCTGCATAAGCAGAGATAAGTTAATTGAAATCACAAAGAAGAGCCGCCAAGCCGCGCAGATTGATGAGTCTTGGCTGATGACAGGCTCAAAAACTTGACAAGAGCTGCTGGCCCCAAAGATGGTTTAGTTTTTCGCAGCAACCAAATGGAAAACTTTCCCAACTCATTCAAGTCATGACATGACATCACATCACATCGTATCATATCATGTGACATCTTTCGAATGTTGCTTGTCCTTTGTGTTGGTTCACTTTCCTTCTGAAGAACCTGCCATTAATACTAATTAACCCATTCATCTAAGTAAACTTTTGCACGCTCGAATCTGGCTTCGTCAAGCCAAACATTGTGTGTGTGTGTGTGTAGTACGAGTATACTGTATATTGTATACATATGTATCTATGCCACATGCGGCGAGTGCACAAACTCAAAGCCTCTCGCTGTCATGCAGGCTGCACAAACACAAGTGCAGCGGGTGAGGGTTGCCTCTCACATGCAAAAGCAAACATACACATACACATAGACATTCTCAACCACACACGAATACACACACACATATACAAATTGCAATCATTTATTATTATTTTTGTGTGCTTTGTCTCTTTGGCACAGAAAAAGTCGCGACTGTCGTCGTCGTCGTCGTCGTCCTCGTCGCTGTCGTTTACGTTGTCCTTCGTGCGCTCTTGTGTCAGTTCTGCTCAGCGCTGAGCTCCAGAGCTAAGACACAAAGTAGAGGCATAGCCAGCACACAGCGACGCACGTGGGGTGGTAATGGGTTAAGGGCCAATGCAGTGCAACATTTTTTGGGGGTCGTTCCAACCCCACCCTAAGCCCCAGTACCAGCGCCAGCCCCTGCCCCACACCCACACCCACTCACTCACACTAACACACACACACACACACTGAGAGAATTCTTACCCTAAATAATTAGCACTATTCAGTAGGGACTAGGACTAGGACTAGGGCTAGGGCTAGGGCTGGGTCTGGGTCTGACGACGCTGTTGGTTCGACTTCGAACTGGCGACCGACTTGCCTGCCCCACTGCTGCATGTCCCGGCTCCTGGCTCCTGGCTCCTGCGTCCTTCGGCCTGGTCTGGCCTGGCCTGGCCTGGCCTGCTGCACGTGCAGAAATTAACATTTCCGGTAATTTTGCGAAAATGAAAAGCAAAGCGAAAAATTAACGGCAGCGTCGCCGTTGCCGCTGCCGCTGCCATTGCTGTCGCCACAGCACTGGGCAAAAGCGAAATGCGGAAAGCTTTTGTTTTAAATAAATATTAAAAGGAATTTTCCACCCTCCTGCCACCTAGCCAGGGCTGCGCAACTGATGGAGACGGGACGCGGGGGCACTGGTTGGCAGCGACACCGGCATCAGGCGGCTCTGAATAAGTTGAATCGTTCTCTGACTGCGATGTTATGTTGGTCTTTTAAACACACATACGCACACACATAGTTTTACGCTCACAAGCCATAACGGGTAAATCTGTGCGTGTTCACTTATGTAACCATACATAAGCATACACACACATACAATGTATGTACATATTTATAGATGACGGTGTGTGTGTGCTTGCACACTTTTTATTTAATTGGAAATTGCGTATACGCCACCGTTAATGAGCCCATTGTGAAGTCAGTCGAAAGGGGTCCGCGAGCAGCTTTGCGGGTTTCCCCCGAGTCGTTCTGGCTCCGGTTCCGGCTCCGACTACGGGTCGGCGTTTTCTCCTTACTCCAGCTCGGTTCGAGTAGTTACCATTATTGTAAATCAATCGTCAGTCGCGCAGGCTGGCTCCCCTCTGCCTGACTGGCTGCCGTTGCCTGTAACTGTGCTCAGGTTATTGCTTTCGCCCTTTTGCACAACGTCAACTCAAAGGCAAGGGCCGCCAATTGAGGCATGCACGCAACATGCGAATGACTGGAGGACTGCCAGGTTCAGGCACAGGCTCGGGCTCGTAGCCCTTTCACCCTGACAGTACGTAGGACTACCATACGTAATGCACGTACATATGAGGTCCTTCTACCCCTGGTCTTGATTATATGTATGTCTGCCTTTCTGCGTGTGGAAGACAGACAAACGAGTCGGCCACTAATTGCAGTCAAAGGCTGCTTTAAATTTGCACCGCGAAATCCCTCGATTGGCAGCGCCCAACCCCCAAGCGCCATACCCATCGCATATTGCCTTCGGTGTCAGCATGTCAAGCGGTTGCCGAGCTGCAGACCCAGGTAGAGGCTGCCTTTCATTTTTTTTCCTTGTTTCTGTTGCTGCTGTTGCTGTTTCCGTTTTCCCTGTCGACTCGTTTGCTGATTAAAACGGTGCGTATGTGTAATGAGTTAATTAAGTTTTTACCATCATTTCATTCGGCTCGTTGTCGTTGTCTTACCTTTACATATGTATATGTACGTATACTAGTACATACAGCAAACACACACACACAAATGAGCACATAAATTAATCATAAATCCTTTCTAGGCGTACGGCAAGTTACAAGTGTTTTGTATATTTGCCGAGGACGCACCTGTCCGTGCCCTGTCCCTGTCCCTGTCCCTGCCCTGTCCCCCATGGCTTTGCTGTTCTGTGCTGGCTGGCAAGCGTTAACAACCTCGTCGCAAGGATAGTGAGTGGAGTGCTCAAGTCGGTTGGACTAAGTGTGTCAGCAGTGTTGCCAGTGCCAGCCGGCAACGCCCCCTTGTACCATTTGATTAAAGACGGAAGCTACTCTACTCAGTGCGAATGTGTGCGTTTCCTACTACGTACATATGTGTGTGTCTGTGTGTGTGTGTGTGTGTATAGTATAGCTATCCAGTTTTATGCCTTCCTTAGGCCTGCCTCTGTCTCTGCCTCTTGTTCTTGTTGGTCTTAGTTGTTGTAAATTTTATGTTATCCGCTTTCATTGTTTGTGTATGCGTTTATTTATGTTCTCCACTGTACGTACAGTACGAGAGAGGGGCAGAGGGAGGGAGCGCTTACTGATTTTCCCCGTTGTTATTTATGCGTTTGTGCTAAACCTTATTTCCTGTTTGTCTTACATAAGCTGCAACGTTTAATTACACGCACTGCGCCCCTCGAGGACACCTTCAGCTACGAAAAGTTAAAGTCTCAAATGAAAAGAATTAGCTAGAGTACTCTCATCGATATATTTAGCAATCGTTTTTCATATATTATTCATAATACGCGCTGCAGTCTCATTTGTCAATTCCATTTTGCTGGATTTTTGCTGGGGTAAGACCACATGGCGTATGCCTCTAATGGCAATTATGAACTGTGTCGCGGCTAAATGTTGGGGAGGGGGGAACCTGGACTGCATTAGAGCTAAAAGCGTTTAGTTGGCGGCTGACAAACCACCAGCTGACCGACTGCTGGGACTGCCCGCTGTCATGTGAGAGCCCCAAAACAAGCAAAACAATTTGACGCTAGCAACCGCAAAACGTGCGGGCCACAGAGAGACCCGCAGCCAGAGCCGCCCACAACTTAACCCAAAAATTGATGAATATGTAAGCAAATACAGAAGACTAACACGCAGCAGCAGAATCAGCAGCAGAAGCAGCAGCAGCAGGGGGGTTGCTGGGGGGATTGGCAAATATACATATACTACACGCATACATACATACATATACATATAAAAAAAAAGGGATCAAAGTCCTGAGGCGCGTTAATTTTCCCAGTCGTCAGCAGGAAAAAGTTTGGGGTTCTCATCCGACATCCACAACGAACCGACCCCGACCACGACCCAGACCCAGACGCTGCTCACAAGAATACGAATATGAATGCTGCTCGCAGACAGCCCACAGCCTCCCACACAGCAGCAGCACAAATTATATTGAAATGTTAATAATCCAGTTGCTTAGACGTGCCCTGATGGAGAGCCACTGCCACTGCCAATGCCATGGCCTGGGCTGGGCTGTCCCTAAAAAGGACAACTCAACTGTAAAAGGATATTTACATGGAGATTTGTATGCCGCTGACTTATGACTTTGATCAATGCCGAGTTGCCTGCCCCATACAGTCACCCGCTTACCACATTACACCATACCGATCCCAAGTCCCAATCAGTGGGCTCCATCCATCCATCCATCCATCCGTTCGTCAGTCTGTGAGGATGGTCCCTGCCACATTTATGTGCTTTTGAGAGTCACTTATGCCCACAATTTGGCACTGCGGTTATCTGGGGGATATTCTTTGATATATGACACGCCATTGGACTTTGGGGAGGGCCCTTTAGGGGTCGGACTTGGGGGTGGAGCTGTGGAGATGTGGCAGCATCTTGGCAACTCAGCAAATCTTTAAATTAAATTTGCTTGGCTCAAATCATCTCGCATTATAAAGTATAATGTGCTTTTAATTTCATTCATTTGCATGCAGCATGAGAGAGGGTCTGGAGTGGAATGGACTAGATGGACATGGCCTGCTGCTGCTGCTTCTACTTCTGCTGATGCTTCTGCTGCTAAATGAAACTAAAAAATCTAATTAGCGTTGGCCAGCGTAAGAGTCGTGGCAAGAGGCGAACTTAAAGCAAACTTTACGCTTTAATTTCATCTTAATTACGCTCCTCCCCCAACTAAATGCAGCAGGCAGCCATCTGCTGCTGTTCTGTTTGTGGAACATTCTGAAAGCCAATCAACTTGAGTCGCTAATGAAACTGCAGTCACTTT